TATACAAATGTTCGCTTCTCCTTTTTGACATCATCGTTACTTGTGTTTCTTATGGCATCTTTTATTGTGCGACACAGCAGTTGGGCAGGAGCAGTCATCTCCAGAATCCTTGGAATGGGGACATCCAAAGGATGCGATGCGTGGCTGTGGCTCCGAGATGGAGAGACGCACGACTGCCGTTGACACTTTGCCAGCTGTGGGAAGGCGGGAAATGCTGGGAAATTGGGGGTTCCCCCGAAAGGGTAAACGGCTGCGGGATTGGTGGAGTGTGACTTTGATTTTTTTTCGTTGGCCAGGACTTACCTTGGAGCAATGGCTTCATTTTCCGCAGCAGCAATGTCACGCCTGGTCGCGGTGCCTTTGCTTTCATTTTCCTTAGTCTTTGCCTTAGTTTTGTTTTCCATTTTCCTTATTTTCACGACTCCTACGACAGGCAGACATCATCTTTAAAGTGGCAGACGCGCTGTGAGCGAGGAAATCCATTCAAAGTTTTTCCTCCTCCCTTTTGGGGATGAAAAGCCGGACATTGACTAAAAAATAACAACGGAAAATTCCTTTAAATTTAATACATTTTTGTTTTGGGGACCGCCGCCTTGATGGTGTTTTATTTTTAAGGACCATTTGCCGAGTGGGTAGTTTTGGGGTTCCAATATTTTATATAATGTTTCAATTTGCCATCACATAGACACAGATACGATTGTGAAGGGGGGCTGAACTTGTGTGCGTATGATTGATATCAATTTTGCTTTGATGAACGCTCCAAGGAATCGCTCCTGAGTTTATTTATTATACTTTTGGGTCACCCAATCCCATTCCCCGTCCTTCGTTTGGGAATCACATTTTTATACAATTTCCACGCCGCAAATTCGAAAAGCAGAGTTTACTTGAAGCCTCTCTCTGTCTTTGCGGTTTGTGGTTCTTTTGGAGCGAGAGAGAGAGGGAGAAGCTGCCCCAAAACTTTGTCTCTATATACTGTAACTATATAGTATATATACATAGTATATACGGAGAATGTTTACATCTGCACGTCACACATAAATATATTTAAATCAGTCTGCCTTTTCCCAAGAAGCATTTGCATATCAAAATGTGCCACACATCAGATAGAAACGAGAAATAAAATATTTACATATATGTATTTGGAAAAAAGGAACAAGGACTAGCTGAAACCATTGACACGATTTGGTCAGAGCGACAGCCGAAAATTGATTATTCCATTTATTTTCCAACACGCATTTCTTGTGCCGCCCAGGAATTAGTCATCAATTTCATAGTCATGGGTGCATGTGTGAAAAATGGACCGCCTCTCTGTTGTATTGACTAGTTGATAGGCCAAATAAATAATGAACTGTGGCTGAGAGGCTTGGAGTATCCAGCCCAAGCCCTTCTTCATTGATTGCAGATGTATGCCTAAGCAAACGCAAGGATAAAAGATCAAGGAAGGTCTTGTATAAAGATTTTGAGATCAAGATCTATGCTGTGGTTCCCAAGTAATAACTACAACCTTATAGAACCTCTTTGGAATATTATCCATTCATAGAAAAAAGAAGGATCGTTTGTATTAATTTAAATATTGAAAAACAAACTCGAGTGTAAAACGTTTTATTTGTAAATGCTGAAATAAAAGCATACATTTCAAAATTTCCAGTAAATATGCACAAGTTGTAATGTCAAATTATTAATTACAGTCGTATTGAGGTGATTTCAATTGAGTAAATGAGAAAATCAAACTTAAAAACTTCGTTTTACATTTAAATAAAAATATTTGAGGGTATTCAATTTCTATTACATTGAAAATAACATGGCGACATCATCCATGCGACAATATGTCCTGGAGGAACGGGTATACGGGAACCCTGATGTGCTGGATATACTGGATAAAATGAATATGGATGTGCTTGTGGTGCCTGATCCGAAAGTGGAACCGGCTGATGACCAAGTTGTATACGACGCGGAGCCGGCTGTGTTGCAACACCCTGTTGTGCTGAACGTGGACCCTGTTGCGCTGGACGTGGACCCTGTGTTGCCACACCCTGTTGTGCTGAACGTGGACCCTGTTGCGCTGGACGTGGAGCCGGCTGTGTTGCAACACCCTGTTGTGCTGAACGTGGACCCTGTTGTTCTGAACGTGTACCCTGTTGCATTTGACGTGAACCTGGAAGAGCTGCCTGCTGACGTTGACCCGATAGTGCTGCTGCTGCAGACTGTTGCACTGGCGGTCGTGGAGCTAGTTGTACTGGAATAAAGTGCTGCTGCTGACGTTGCCCCGATTGTCCTGCTCGAGCCGGTTGCACTGGACGTGGTGCCAGCTGCTGGGAAGAAGCTGGACGCAATGGATGAAGTGGAGCCAGCTGTCCAGCTACCTGCAAGGCATGGGACGTCTGCGCCTGTTGCTGTCGAACCCGCAAAGTGCGAACGCCATAGATGAATCGTGTTTCCTCGGACCGAACCACTCGCTTGCAGTATGGGCACTCAGAATTGCGCGCCAAGTAATCTCGAATGCATTTCTTTCCAAAGAGATGACCACAAGAAATCGAGACAATGCGGTGGTCGCCCTCGCCCTCCCACGGCGTCAGGCAGATGGCACATGTGTTCTCCTCGTTGATCTGCTCGAGCTTTCCGGCCAAATCGTGCACCTCGTCTTGAAAACCTTGGCACTGTTGCATTAGGTCATCGATCTGCTTTGTCATCTCTTGCACCTGAACTTTATTTTCCTCCTTGGCGCAATTCACTACGGACAGCTGCGACTGTTCGTGCTCTAGGAGTTGCTGGCGCAGAGCCTCGGTCTTGGATATCTCCTGCTGAAGCTGCTGCAGCAAAGAATCCATTTCACTGATCACCTCTTGATCCTTCATGACGAACTGCTGCGGCTGATCGGGCTCAAGCAATTGCTGCTGCAGTGCCTCGCCCTTGGACATTTCCGTCTGGAGCTGCTGTAGCAAGGAGTCCCTCTCGGCGGTCAGATCTTGTATCTTCGTGACGAACTGCTCTGTCTCTTTGTACTCTATTAATTGCTGGCGGAGGGCCTCGGCCTTCGACATCTTCTCCATCTGCTGTAGCAAGGAATCAATCTCGGTGATCAGCTCTTGGTTGTGCTTGCTAACCACATCGAGTTCTGCTTTAAGTTGATTCTTGCTTATGAATTTGGGATTATTTTTCTCACGTTCCTCTTCAACTTCTTTGGGAATGCTGGATTTTGCAGATTGTGGAACTGCTGGTTTCGGTAGCTCCTCCATTTCTTTTGGTTTCGTGTCAACAAATAATTAGGAAATATGATATGTGAAGAAAAATCTTATAGTCGCAAACACGTGACAAGTCACAGTTCCAGTGCTGGAAAAGAAAGGAACAAGTATTGCATACATTTAGTAGTTATTGTAATACGATAATTGCGATAATTTTCCCATCGAGTAAGACACTGAAAAAAATATCTGAATATCGATATGTTTAAAATTTAAAAGATGGCGGGAATTTGTAGCGCTTGGCGCAAAAATGACTTATTTGTGAATGTCTTATTGGCATATGGGTAATTCTCCAGAAACGTGCACCGCGGCCAAAAACTTAAAATTGCTTAAAAACGAGTATTTTTAACATGATTACATTAAAAATTGGTCAGGATGATCAAGACTAAGAGAATTTTTTATTTTCTAAAATAAGTTTCAAAAAATCGATGTCAAACACGCGCAAACGCAAATAATGTTGTTTTTATAAAAAAAAGGCATAAAAAATGGCATGTTTTGTTTTGATGCCCATCTCTTAAACCGAACCATTTTGCTTTAACTTTTGGTTTCTATTATGACATAAAAAACCCAAAGATTCAATATTAAGTGCAAAAGGACATATCCGATCACCAATATTCGTACAGTTTCAGTTTGAATTAGCGCTTTCCAAACTGTCGCGTGCGACATGTCGCGTGCGACCGGGACTAAAATTGAATTTAAAAAATAACTACTTAATAATTTAAAATCAAACAAAATACGTTAGTAAGATAATTCATTGCGTAATTCGTTTAAATTGATTGTACTACAATTTTTCATCACGTTTCGCTGAAATCAGAGCTTAAACTAGTTTTTTCAAATGTAACTTCTATTTTTGTCGCGTGCGAACGCAGTACATTTTAGTGAATATCTTGAAAACAAACAAGGGTTCAAAATCGACCTTTGCACCAATTATAGTGCTAACCAAGAGCTATACGTTTCAATTTTTATAAAATTAAAATAAAGTCTTGGCACATGTGTTTTTTTAGTTTGAATGCGTACGAATGTCGCATTCGCCACCAGAGAATTGCCCATATTTTCTTTTAAACGAGGGCAGAGGGCACAAGCTTCTCGATTTCCATCTTCTACACTATAGATTCCTGTGACTGTTCCATCACGAGCTTTTTCTGGCGCAGATATACATTTGTACATACATTCCTTAAAATCCCCAGCTTTAGGTTCATTTGTAAGAAATTTCTGTCGATGATCAAGATTTGATTCTTCTCGACAAGCTCCTGTGAAGGTACGTGTTCAAGCAATTGCCGGCTCTTGAAGAGCAATTCTTGATTTTGCTTCATTAGCTCGTCAATGCTAGGTTTCGCTGAAACCATTGGAACATCAGGTTTAGTTTCCAGCTTGATTTTCTTTGGATTATCGTTAGCCATTTCCAAGAAGTTTGATTCTAAACACAAGTTGAAGGGAAAATTAAGCCCACGTGGTTTTAGGTGACGCCGACAACCAGTGTTGATAAAGTGATAGAATTCGAAGTTTTTCATTTGTTAATCGATAGTCCAAATAGCTAGTTATAGTTATTCAAATTTTCCGTTTTAAAAAATAAAATTTTTATTATTATTAATTATTGACTCTATGATTAAATATATACAAAAATTTAACAAGCATTCCGCATATATTTAGGATATATGTATTTCTACCTTTTAGGGTTGTAAATAATATTAGTTAGTCTGGTAACTTTACAGTCTCTGTAGTGTTGGATAACGATTTATTAAAGCGTCGCTTTGATTTTAACTTGCCAATTTGACGCCGTGTTTCCCGCGATTTCTGTTACAATAATGTCGGAAGACCGTAGAGTTAGGCTTGGAAGCCTGCGTGGGCCAGACCCGATCGATCAGTTCCTGGAGGAGCATTTCCTATACAGGAAGCACACGGTTACAGACGCCACCAGTCTGTTCCGCGTGGTCTCCGAGCAATTGTACGACACCCAGATGCTGCATTACGAGATCCGGATGGAGTGCGTTCGCTTCATGTTCCGCAAGAGACGCCTCTTCGAGCGGCATGTGCGCGGCAACTTCGACGAGTATCTGTTTCGTATGGAGAGGTCGCATACCAGGGGCACGATGCTGGAGCTGCGCGCCATGTGTTTGCTGTATGGCCGCAACGTGGTCATGTACGAGGGCTTCCAACTCGGCGAAACGCTCACCATCGGAGACAACAGTTACCATCGTGATGTCCTAAGGATTTTCAATGATCGCAATGGGCACTTTGACACTGTGTTCACCATGCCACAGATCACCATGGCCGCCATTTGCCAGGCCATTGCCTTTAAGCTCCTCTATCGGCAGCTCTTCCGTCTGCCGGATGTCAGTCTGGCGGTGGAGGCGATGCTGTATCCAAACACCTTCGACTCGGGAATCCAATTCGAAATGGATGCTGGGAAGAACGTTATCGGTATTCTGTGTCCCAATGGCAAGACTTTCAAGCTAGACCGTCCGGAGAACACTCGCTGCCTCCTGACCGATTACAAGACCTGCGCCTACCACAATCGTGGGTCCAAGGCCCCATTGCCAGTATCGTGCGTGCGGCAGTTTCTCGCTGACGGGAACAGTCCCTTTACTTATTCAGTCTCTAAATCCCTGGATCCGTACACCTATCGCAATGTGGAGCTGCATTGCCTGAATGCCGCTCGCCGAGTGGCCAGAAATCTAAACATCTACATGGGCGATTACAATTTCAAAGTGGGAGCCAAGTGCCAGGTGGCTTTGGACCCGAAGCAGCCGCAAAAGATGTCCATATGTTACATCCAGCGCATCAAGTGGGACAGGACCTCGACCATAGTTTTCTCCCAGGAGAAGGCAGACTTCCTGACCATACCCTATGCAGCGCTGCATCCAATGCCACTCTCAGAGTTCAAGCCTTGGGATCCTCCGTTCAGGTCTAGGCGTACCACCCGTCTGTTTCACAAGCAGCGCCCAAGAAGGGTTCGCATGGGGCAGCGGCTTCCGGCTTCGCAATCAGGATTAACTTTGCACTCGCAGGGTGAAAAGGTAATTCTACCTTTTCCTCTTGCGACAGGCCAGACCAACAATGAACCATCATCAAACCAAGAGAATCAATCAACTGCACCGGCGCCTATGCCAGTGCCCCAACCTTCTTTGCACGTTCCTCGACCACCTTTGCAGATTCTCCAACCGCCGATGTACATTTCCCGACCGCCAATGTTCGTTTCCCGACCGCCGTTGACCACCGTTCGTTACCAACTTGTCTACACAACGCAGCAGCCAGCAATTGGATCACAACAATTTATGCCAGGACAATTTCCGCTTCAGCCTCAGATAATTCGTCCTCCAGGGAATTTCTACGTCATGCCATCACCACATGCTCCAGTGACTGCTCCAATGCCGATGCCTTATGCCGACAACAGTGCCCCTATGGGCACCCAGACTATCAATCCCTTCCAGCCACTTACCTACTAGCTGGGATGTAAGACTTTCAAAGAAATTTTAGAAAAAAACAAAGCATGAATTTTAGTTGGAGTTAAAAAAGATCATACCATTTTTTTTTTTTCTATTTTTTATGAGCAGAGAAAAGGAGTATTACTTTGAACTTTGTCTTTTTTTTTTGATATTTTTTGTATGTTTTGATCTTTAATTTTTTAGTGTATTAAGACAAAAAGAATATATGAAGTTTCTACCGCACAATGTTAAATTTTCAATTTCTTAAGCTGGAAAAAGCTATAAAGGGGACAACATAAATTTTGTTCTTCGTTCTAAATCCTTTTTTATTTTGTAAAAATTCATATTTTCAAATGCACAATAGAATATATCTTCATTTATATGAATTAAAATATAAAGCTATTGCAAACGTTGTACGTTTCTTGTAAAACCAGAATTGGCTTAGCTCAATTCATCACCGGATGTGGCCTCCACGGCAAGTCTCGCATCCCCGGACAATCGACACTGCAGATTCTTATTGATATTGTCCACCATGTCGAAGGCATCGATGATCATCTGAGCTTCGCTCTGAGCCTTCTCGCTCATCTGCTCCAGATTGCGGCGCAGTTCCCTGTGCTCCCCGGTGACATCCCGCTGCTCGGCCTTCTGGTACAAACTGGTGCGGGAAAAGAGAGCGGTTGTATTGTTGTTGCCCTGCTCGAGGTGCTTCTCCAATTCGTCGGGCGGTGGAAAGTCCATGTCCAGGGCAAAACGTCGCAGCTCCTCAAACTTGGCTTCCTGTGCTTCCTTGTCCCTGCCATAGCTGATGACCACCGCCTGGAGAATGATATCACTGCCGGGTAGTTGAATGTACGCAATAACGTCCTTGAAGAGGTTCTCCTGACGCCACACCGTATGTCTATACTGCACCACCTGGTAGACGACCACCTCTGGCTCTGGACTGTATTGCAAAAGCATCCATGTGTCATCGGTCAATGTGGGCTCATCCTCGACCTCCAAGTGTTCATCGAAGGCATGATCAAAGCTCCGGGCTTTCAGGTGCAGCAAGATTTTCTCCATGTAATGTCGCTGATCGTAGGCATAGAGGACGTGTGCAATGCATCCAGGACCCAGGCTGACCAATGGTGTGCCCTTAAGCTCTGGCTTGGCGCTCATCCACATCACACTGTCCGGGGAGACGAGCTTCTGGACGAGACGCTCGCCCGATTCCTCGTTTTCGGTATACTGAACCAGAAGTTGCCTGGCATTGGCATTCTCCCGCTGCTCCTTGCTCATGGACAACAAGGCGGCGTCCACGAGACGCCGCTCATCGGCCGCGAGTATGAGCTTAGCCTCCAGCACCATACCATTCACCCGGAACTCCACAAAGCGGGTCATGTACTTGTCCGATACGTCCGTTTCCAGAAGCTCCATTGAGTGGAGCACACAGAGTCGGGGCTGGCCATTGGGCTTGCCATTCTTCATGGATCCATCGTCGACCTCGGCCAGGAACCAAGATAGGCGAGTGGCAGCTATTGGGGCGTTGGCATTGGCCACAGCACCACTGGTGGCGGAGTCATCCAGGCCACTGTCGTTGCTAATATTGCTCATGCTGGTGGCTAGTTACTGAACTTAATTTTCGCAAATGAATTGTTATAAATTTTATAAATTTATGTATTATCTTGGTAACTATCTGGTGTTGTTTACTGTGCTGCTCGTGATGAATTGATGGCTACTCCAGCGTTGCAAGTTCTTTTAAAGGTGAAAAAGGGATGAGAAGTTGGTGTACTTTACCCGCTTTACCTGGCAATTATTTGGCGCAGCTGGTCAGGATTATTCTAATTGCTTACTTATTACCTGCAAGTCCGCGGATTTTCCCAATTCGCAGCTGCTTGGAAATGGGCAATAAATGCAAAGTCCAAAAGGACATCTGTTGCAGTATTGCACATTTTATTTACTTACCTGCTTGTCAAAAAACATCCCAAGAAATAATATCTAAAATATGCATTCGAGTCCCAATTTTATTCTGTATTATAAAATGTCCATTGCTAGAAGTTTTCATATAAAATTGCACTTCTAGGTTTAAGATATTTATAAAAGATATGTATATAAGAGAATGCAATCTTATCCTTTAGATAGCGTTGTCTTTGTGAGCTTAGAGCTAGTTATTGCCTGGGTTTTGGAACTCAATCCCTATTGCTATCATCAATATCCAGACCAGAAAGTAAACGAAGGAAATGCCTGGACGCCTCCCCCAGTTCACTCAAATCCATCTGTGAGCCGGTAGATCCTCCTGGCATATCGTGAACACTACCCAAGAAAATCAAGCTATCGGTGACAGCTCCACGGCCAATAAGGCCAGTTTTATCGTTAACTCTTGATAATTCCGTTCCAACGAGACTCTGATCCGATGACTTCTTGGCCGTTTTGAGGGCAGTGGTTATAGATAAGAAGCGTTCGGCCTCCCCAAACGGAAGTCCCAGCACTCGAGTGAAAAATTCCATGGCCCTTGCTTTATCCCTGTGAGCCTCACCACCCGGCTCCCTCTGTGGTACTATGGCATCGAGAGGACAATCCCTGGCATCGTCCGCTCTTTGTTTGTTCAATTCACAGAATGTGGGGATATCCTCGAACAATCTCAAGCCTATGGCTTCATTTATCGCCGCTCCATTGGCCAGCAAGCAGCCCAGCACATGACCTGTTGCCCTCTCCCGGACACTTATGTGATAGACATTACATCCCCGTCGCATTATGGTTAGGACCACATCTCGGAACGGTCTGGAGCCAATAAGGTTCCTCATTTCGTCGACCAAGCTGTCAAGAACGGGTAGGTTACCATTGTCACTGCACAATTGGCAGCCACAGGATGACCCTTGCAGATCCTTGGAAATGTACTCAACTCTGCAAGGTTTCTCATTTTGTTCATCCGGTTTCTTCTGATCCCCCTTCAGAACCGTATTGCTAACCGATATGGTCATTCTTTTGAGCTTATCCCCATTCGGTACTCCACACGATTCAAGATTTTTTGTCTTGGTAAATAGGTTGATCAGTTCAGCACACAAACGCTCGAATGAGTACCGCTCCCCTTCAGCTTTCTGAGCCAGCGGCTGCGGGTTCTGTCCACACTCTGTCTTTGGCTTTGCAAAATAGTTGATAAACTGATCCATTAAAGACTCGTAGACTTCCTTTTGCAAACATTGATGGGAGTCACAGAGTTTTAGAGCATTATTCTTAGCCAATCTAGAGACTGAGGAGATCTTCATTGTATTTGAAACATCATCTTTCGATTTGCTGGTCACTAGATCAACGCTTTCTTCCATTATGTTTGAGTTCTTCGATTCTGGTTCCTTCGGACCAATTTCAGTCTCTGGTTCGGGTTTTTTCGAACATTGTTCCAAGCCAAGTGATTTGTTTTTCTTGGAATTATTTGGATTAGAATTCAATCCTGGACTCCCTCTCCTCACAAACATATGATTAAATTGCTGCATTAAAATGTCGGATTTTTCCAGGCATTGAATACACATTTTACGGGCATCTTGGCAATTATTCTTCACAGGGCAAATGGTAATTGGCTTTTGTGTCTCCTTTTTGGAACATGCGTTCGCACCTGGTTTAATGAATATATCTATGAATTCCTTCTTTAAAGCTTGGCAATCGGGATAGCCATCATTAGCACAAGAGGGATTGCAAGGTAAATCCCTAGATGGCTGGTTAACAGAGCAAGCCGAGGATTTGTTCGACTTCATGGAGTCTGGAACGCTGCAATTGGAATCATTTTCTCCGCATTTTTGGGTGGATTGATCCGCCATACTTTTCGTTTTGCTTGGTGTTGGGCAAGGTGGTGGTGGGCAAGGTGGTGGTGGACAAGGTGGTGGTGGTGGTTTGCATGTCATCATGGCGAATTGAAGGTTCTTGAGAGAGCGCTCCTGTTGTTTCAGCTTTTTTTCCAATTCACAAACCCGTTGAAGTATTTCGGGAAGTCGAGAGCACGGAAAAGAAGCAGAAGGCTTCATTTCTGGTGAGAGTTTTTCATCAGATTGATTCGGCTTGCCTGAGCTCTCACCTTCCGTTTTTGACCCCTCTTCTGGTGGGACTTGTTCCCCATTTTGATATTGCTTATTTTGGTTTGGTGGCTCAAAAGCAACTGCTGCTTGCCTCCTAGTTGATTTCTGTTGGCCTCCTCTTGATGACTTGTTGTCCCTCCCTGGTTGACTTTTGGCTGGTTGCCCTCTATTTGGTTGGGTTCTTGCTATTTGACCTCTTTGTGGTTGACTCCTTGTTGGTTGGCTTCTTGTTAGTTGACCTCTCTGTTGTTGTGGGGCTCCTTGTGGCGGATTTTTTGGTAGTTGGTTTTTAGCCCCCGATAAACTTGAATGGCTCCTATCAACTAAAACAAGAGGATTCCATTTTTGCGACAGTTTCTCACAAATTGACTCTGCTTCTGATTGTTCGTCTTCCTGATCTACTATATTACCAGGTGGTTGAAATCTTTTGCTAACATTGCTATATTGTACTTGTATGAAGGCTCTACTTGAATCTGCCAATTCCGATAATGATATTTGAGTGCCTGTATCTTTCCGATCTGGATTAGGTTGCATAGGAGTCTCTGGCCCGGTTTCATTTTTGATTGTCGTTTCATCGTCCTCCGTTTGAGTGGCCACTTCGGTGGTGGAAACGTTATGGGTGACGGAGTCCCACTGGCAGCCGCATGGTGAAGTTCCACCCGCAGGTATGCGTTCTATATCCGACCCGCTGGACGAAACATCTGTAAAATAAAGGGTAGTCATAAAGGGATTAATAGAGGTAGCTTCTTCATCAACTACCTGGGGCAGTTTTCGGGTATATAAGACAGTGACCTATTAGTAACTTTTCAGTTTACAATTAGCCAGCAAGCAGAACTATGGTGAGTCAGAAGATAGCGTACTGCAAATTAGCTAGGAATAATATGACACAAATATTCTCTATAGATCAATCGCCGCCAACGTCTAGAGTTTGCCCTAACCCTCCTGCCCTACGATCCGGAGACAGTGCAGCTGTCCGAGGTCCAAAAGCAGGTGGTGGAAATCATTGCCCGTCTTCGCACAGACGATTCCTTTACGGAGGAGGAAAGCGATGGCGATGGCAAGACGCTGCAGCAACAGCAAGAAGATGCCGACGCCTTTGCGGATCGTGCCATGCGCCAGATCGAGTTGACGGACAATGGGAAGTTGAGCACTCTGGAAACTCTGACCCAGGCTGCTGAGAAGTTGCTCGAATCCCAGAGATGTAACGCTGAGCGGGATGAGGAGGAGGAGGAGGATCAAGACTATGATGACTTTGTGAGGGACGTGGAGACAACGCAGCTTATGAAGTGCACCATACAAGCGGTGAACGAGGCGCGGATGAAGCTCATGCAGCAATGGGAGCGCTGTAAGCGAAAGGCTCTAGATCTCCTCACTATTGAGATTGAAAAAGTACAGGAAATGGACCAAGATCAGGATCAAAATCAAGAGCAAACTTCGTCACGCTTTGAGATGTTCCGCGAGGGAACCGAGGAGCACAATACCTCCACGCCCAAGACCAACGACGAGGACCATATCATCGATGACGATGACGAGGAATATGTGCCAGATGGCGAGGAGGAATCGTCAGCCGGGAATAAAAGAAAACGCAGCAAGAAGCCGGTGACCTCCACGCCGAATGCCAAGCGTCCGTGTCCCGGCTTCGAGTTCGACCAGGACAGTAGATCGCCGATGGTAATGATCGGTCCGAATGGCACCAAGATATTACGCAGCAGTCTCAGTGCCATCAATTGGGATATGACCGGGCCCTCGATCACCCGCAAGCTGCTGTGCGAGATCTTTGACCGGGACACCCTGGCACATCACACGCTCTCCGGGAAGCCGTCGCCGGCCTTCAAGGACTGCGCTCGACCGAGCAAGCAGCAGCTGGATCCGCTCAAGGTGGCCGATCTGGTCTATCTGATGACCAACAGCATGGACATGACGCCCAGGGAGGTGCGCACAGCAATCACCACAAAGTGTGCCGATGAGAACAAGATGCTCCGCTCCAAGCTTCAGCGTTGTCAGCGGAAGAAAAAGTAGATTCCATCCGAGATTCCATTCGAAATCCTTCCACTTTGATTCCTATTGGTACTTCCACATACAAACATACATTTCTTATAGTAAACTAAGTTCCGGCTCAGCCGAAATAGCCAGTGTATCGATAAAAAAATAAATAAATAAAATGACTCATTTTCTTACCCACAATTTGACTGGCTTTCGGTGTGCAGGCCAGGGAATCCCCACTTTTTCCCTTTTTAAGCCAGTCCTTGCGACTGGAAGAGATTAAAAGTCACAAATGTGGAACAACTAATTAGACTCAATCTTACCATCCACCAAATAAAAGAATTCGAATTTTATAAAGCTTTTTCTGCTTAATTCGCTGTTCTGCCAAACTCCTATCGGTGCTCATGATGCAATAAATAAAAATTTCCGAATAATTTTGACGGAATTTTGATTGGGTTTCCCCAATTTAAAAAATGTCAAGACTGTTGAATAAACATATGTAGTTTTTAATTTTTGTTGTTTACAAAACTCAATGGCAGTTTAGTCAAGGAAAAACATTTTTACAACACGCACAAAAAATATTATCGATAAATACTTAAAGCAGACGCGTTCGATATACATGATTTTATCTGGTGCCCAAAGGTACGACAGAAATGTATTTAATTGAAATAATGATGTAAATGCAATATCAAACCCAAAGGTACGACAGAAATGTATTTAACAGAAAGAATGATGTAAATGAAATATCAAACATCTTGGACAGCATTTCCAGCCGAGTTGATTTAGCAATGTTCGTCTGTCTCTTTGAAACATCAGAGCTCAAAAACTGCGAAAAGTCGTAATATTTCTCCTAATTTAGCTATATCAATGTTGCTTTTATTTTTACCCAAAATAATGTAGGTGCCAGGTATCTCGCATTCAATTGTAATTTTCCTTTTTATACCCTTGCAGGGTATTATAATTTCAGTCAGAAGTTTGCAACGCAGTGAAGGAGGCACCTCCGACCATATAAAGTATATATATTCTTGATCAGGATCAACAGCCGAGTCGATCTAGCCATGTCCGTCTGTCCGTCTGTCCGTTTCTACGCAAACTAGTCTCTCAGTTTTGAAGCTATCTGAACGAAACTTTGTAGTTAGCCTTCTATATACTCTCACTCGTATATATGTCGGAACGGGCCGGATCGGACGACTATATCATATAGCTGCCATAGGAATGATCGGAAAATGTTAAAAAAAAATTTTTTAACTTTTTCAGTTTTCAATAGAATTGGATCAAATTTGAGATATAGGCATTTTTCTATACTCTACAATTTTGCATAAAATTTTATGAAAATCGGACTACTATATCATATAGCTCCCATAGGAATGATCGAGAAATTAATACAATTAAATTTATAACTTTTTCTGTATTCATCAGATTTTCATCAAATTTGAGGTATAGCCATTTTATATTAGTCTTAAATTTTGTGTCGAATTTCATAAAAATCGGACGACTATATCATATAGGTGCCATACAAACGATCGTTAGATGTAGAGGAAAAATGCAAATCTGCGAATGTAAAACTGCAAATATAATATGTATAGGTGAATGAAATGAAAGCAGGTATTACTTCATTGTTTTTTAACACAAATAAATATAATTTATATTGTTGAGATTCCAAGTCATAGAAGTTATGTCTGCAAGGGTATATAAACTTCGGCGTGCCGAAGTTAGCTTCCTTTCTTGTTATATCTATAAAGTGTGTTATAATTCTAGTTTTATATTGAGTCATTTCCGACCCTATAAATGATCAGCATAAACAGCTGAATCGGTCTAGCTATGTCCGGGTAAAATTAATTTTTTTTTAAACTTTTGAACATTTTTAAATTGAACATCGTTAAAATTGTTAAAAATTTGATAAGAAAACTTAAATAGTTTTTATTTAACAAATCAGTATGCAGATTTGTTAACCTATTAAAAACTAGTACATAATATGTTTCCGAACTAAATTTGATGCATTTTAAGCTTAGTTATAATGATTTAGATGGTCAAACTGCTTTGATATTAGCTTATTTTTTCCTTCGTGTTTTTTTAGTATTCGATCTTTTTTCTTAATATTATTATAGCATTAAAGCGCCCTACAGGTCAAAAATTAAAAATTGACTACATAATGAAAATTTGTATTATTTTATTAAGATTTAAACTCTTTGGGGAATATTTAATTTTTGTTGTATTAAATGCGATAATTGCTTGAATAACAAATATTTCGCAAATAAGATATATTGGTCGATCTTAAATGTTTAACCGTATAAAAATAAACATCGATTGTATAAAAATTTACGGTATACAAAAATCAATTGTATCTAAAGCTAGAGGAAAACATGGGAATATCTCCCCAAAAGAAGACCCTCAAAATGCAAAGCATCTTCAAGTGTGAAAATGGGGGCTTTAAGTTTGTCGAATTGCATGCAATTAATTTGGAAATAAACATCAATTGTATAAAAATATACGGTATACAAATATAAATTGTAGATGTAAAGTGTGAATTTTTTTTGGGTCAGTAGGAACATTGTATCTATTTTAAACTCATGTGTATGGCGGTGTGGTAACACTGGCAAATCAAAACTACGTTTTTCTATCGAAAGCTTTGTCACGTGGAGAGTAAAAAGAATTCTTACGAAATGTCTGATATTTCCGGAGAAAACCAGCAAGCTGCTGATTCTGGACTAGAAAATTCCGTGGAAATGTCCCAATCCGGAGGACCATCATTATCCGTGCAAATGCAAGAAAATATAAACAAAATGACAGAATTGGTGGCAGAATTGCATCAGGAGAAGCCCAAAATTGAGGGTCTTCAGCAGCAGGAGGAGCAAAACAACAACAACGACGAAGCTGTCGTCCAGCAGCTGGAATTCAGCAAAGAACGCGATAGCATCCTATTGCAACTGCAGGAGGAGATGTGCAACTACGCCACCATTCAGTCCAAGTTCCAGGAGCACGAGCAATCGATGGAGCTGATTGTTAAGGAGCTGCAGCAGCAGATGTTCGATCTGGAGAAGGAGCGAGATGATCTCAAGGAGGCGCTGGCCGTCAAGGAAATGGTCGGATTGGATGAACTCGAGCAGCTGGACGTCGAGCTAGAAGACATAAGCAGGGAGGTGAATGATCTAAACAATCAGGTGTACAGAATGACAGAGGCCACCATATGCCCCCTCTGTCTCGCCCCATGGGCGTCTGAAGGGGACCATCGCGTGGTAACCCTCCGCTGCGGACACCTCTTTGGGGACAGTTGCCTCCGCGAATGTATCCAACGCAATGGCCGTTGCCCCATTTGTAGGAAGAGATCGTATCAAAATGAGGTTCGCAACATCTATTATGGTCAATCCTATTAAATCACATATTTAAAAGCCACCCATAAATATTACTATACTTTTTCAAAGCCACCGATAAATATTACTATTCATAAGAAAACAATTTAAATATGTTTGCATTTTCCTTTCCAAAATTATTACACACACACACATAATGTAAATGAAGTAAAACAAAAACAAACTCAACTGTACCAAGATTTTCATCAAATTTCATCCAATGTTCATAGAAATTTTCAAAATAAAATATAAGAATAAGGATTACAATAGGTGCAAACAGCCGAAACTCAAACATGTGAAAAAATATGACAATATTATAATTTAATGTAAAATTTGTTCCGCTTTGAATGGTTTATATAACTGCAATGATGAACGAAGCCACCGATTAATATTACTATTGATATTCAAAGTCACCCATAAAAATTACTATTCAAAATAGAACAATTTAAATATGTTTTAATTTTCCTTTCCAAAAATTATTACACGCACAAAACTAAACTGTCAACTGTCAACTTTATCCAATGTTCATACATATTTTCAAAACAAAAAATAAGAAAATGGATTAAAATAAGCTATTCACAGCACATAGAAAAAAATATGAAAAAGAATATGAATATAATTTAATGTAATGTAATATAGCTGCAATGAATGCATGCAGCCACCGATTAATGTTACTATTATTATGAAGAAAACAATTTAAATATATTTTAATTTTCCTTTCTAAAAATTTCTAGACACACAAAACTAAACTGTCAACTGTACCACGATTTTCATGACAACTCCTTCATTGTTTATACATAATTTCAAAATAAAATATAAGAAAATGGAATGCAAATCGATTAAAATAGGCGTTCACAGCCGATAAAAAAAAATGAAAAAGGATATGAAAATAATTTAATGTACAAATTGTTCCAAATGAATGCATGAAGCCACCACTGAATATGAATAAAAGAACAAATAATAAATTGTGTATGTCTTAAAGTATATACTGTTTCTATGTTTAAGTAAGCCTTTAATTAAGAGCAGAGTATATTATATTGCCATAATTCGATTTCTGCACGTGTCGCAGACAATTAACTAAGCGCTTTTCAATTACTCAGCAAATCCGAGTATAATTCATGGCATTAATACCACTGACCATCGCCACTTCATCATCATGAGAATTAGAGAGCCACAAACGAGATAATGAAGCTGTGGCAAGATTTAAGCATTTCTTCCGCTGACCATCGGGTATATTGACTTGCTGATTATTTTTATTTGCCTGGCAAATGCTTCAATTGAGACATAAAACTATGCCGAAACATACACGAGAGCATAAACATTTATACACGATTAAGTGTGCTGTTTGTTTTTATGTTTGGTTTAGCGCTTCCGTTGCGGCTGCCAAGAATTCCACCTCCTCCCTGTTCAATATTGCGTATACGCACTAAATGGCCCAGAATGCGAGATACAAACAGGAAAAGGCAAAAACGAACGAAAATGTGGCAACGAAGGGAGCACAAACATTTTGGCCAGATTAAAGTGCGTCTAGGGAGATCCGTGTTCCGAATTCAATAAAACATTCTGCCCAAACATACATAAATCAATGAGAAACTAATCAAAAAATCAAAAGAAAAACACTAGGTAGGGGATTTATTTGAATACTCTATGCCTTTGTTCGCAATGTATTTAAAATGCAAATCAATTAAATTAAAAGCGCAACTTTATTGCCTGGAAAATTTCAATTTATGCAAATGCAACAGCAGCAAAAGAATAAAAACGAGACTAGTCCAAGCCGCAAGCTTAAATGCTCATTAGGATGCTCTGTACTAAAAAAACATTAAAGAAGGGAAATAAACAAACTCTCCCCCAAAAACCCTAATGTGTGTGCTGTGGAGCGTATTTTGTGTCGCCTGCATCGCATTTACATTTTCGAATCTAAAGATAGAGGAAAACATGGGAATATCTCCCCAAAAGAAGACCCTCAAAATGCAAAGCATCTTCAAGTCTGAAGATGGGGGGCTTTAAGTTTGTCGAATTGCATGCAATTAATTTGGACTTATGGCAAAATCCAAGGCTAACTTAAGCTTTGGCTATAACTGAGAAAGACTTCTGCTGCAGCATTGTTATGCGCTGTTGCGTAAATTGATCCCCTTTTAATGATGCAGTTCAGCTGCAAAAAAATGGAAGCAATTTGGTTGTGACAGCCTCTCAAATGCCTTTCTCTGATAATACTTGGCCTTTAACTTATTGTCAGGTCGGGCCAAAAAAAGAAGTCTTCAGCTCTTTGTTTTTCGTTTGAAATTCAAGCTCATTGATTTTCGCACACACACACACAATGCACTTGAGATAAACTGAAAATGCTAGAAGTTTGCCTCTTGAAAATATTCCACATACGCAGTGTGGCCACAGAACATTTTTCCCCTCAACTTTAACTAATTAACAACTTGTTCTTGGTTTGGAGGTAGTGATTTTTTTGTATATGCAAAAAAATAAAATAAAATAAAAGCAGGATGAATTTGACATAGTTTCTTTTTTTTGTTTTAAAAACTGCTGCATTTTAGCTGCTTAAAGTTTGAACAATTGCTGTTACCACATGTGGGGCAACTCTTGTGGCTAATTCTGAGCTTGTGCCCCCAGCTTGGGTTGTACGTTATGCTTAAAATTGTCAGCACCCACACACAAACTGTGGCCACACGATAAAACGAAGACCAAACAAGTGGCCAGGCACAAAACCACACGCCATGTAGCTCCCGGTCTTACTTACCAACCAGCAATTGTGAAAAAAAATGAAAATGGATAGAAGCACCATGTAGAACATTCTATATTGCACCCACAAGCAGTTGGCCAAGAGCTGCGAGAGCTGCAGTTTAAAAAATACAGCCACTTCTTCTCTGGCCTTCAGCCGGTAAGTAAATCGAGTTTAAGCTGTGCGTTAGCTTTACCATCGATAAGTTTTTATGCTTACTTCTAAAGTGCATTTATCCGATTTCTTTAGTTTGATCCTGGGTTATGGGGTTATATTATTTTAAGTGATAATAAAGCTTGAAGCTTGTTGTTGGGTTGGTTTTATTGAAATCTAAGCAGTAAACTTGAATGGAATAAAGTTAAACGTTTAAGGAATATTACTATTTAAAATCAATTTTCCTTTACTATAAAAATTAAAATCACAATTGAATACAAACAGTATTTATACCTTAAAGGATAATGAAAAAGTCTGAAATATATAAAAACATATCTTTCATAATGTACTATTTATTTAAAATTATTTAATATATAAAACAAATTATGTGTTGCCTTTTTTAGTCATATAAAAATTCTGTTTATTAAATATTGAAAACATGAAGGACTTAGGCCGTACATTTTAGATGACTAAGTAATGGGATACTTTAAGCGGGTACTTAAAAAATAAGGGTTTGAACCCATAATTTTTGTAATAACTAAGTAATTTAATATTCGACTTACACTCGTAAAAATATTTTTCTATATTAAAAAGAAAAATCACCTTAAAAAATAATAGCCCTAATAATAATCTTCATTTAAAATAATCCCCCTAAAAAATAATAGTTATAAAAAATATTAAACCTAAAGTTAAGTAAATTATTGACGTCAAATCTCGCACGTGTGAGCATATGATTTCCAAGTGGTTCTAACTTGCCTAGAATGAAGTGACGGCTTCCGGATAACTCTTAGAAATGTTATGTGTGATATGTGATATGCATGTGATATGCCAGAAGTTGCAAGACATAGTTTCTTACTTACTTTTCATAGTTAGTTATTCTAAAATTAACTAAATGTTTTTCTTAATTCAAGAAAAAATTACCCTTAAATTAAGAAAACAAATTTTTAAATTATTAATGATTAAATAGCCTCATAACTATGAAAAATCGTTATATATATACGAAAAATTCATCTTTAATTTTTTGAAATTATTTCATAAAGTTCAGAAAGTTTCTTTCCTGATATTAGGGAAAATTTTTTCTTAGATATATGGAGACTAGACCTATTGGTTCCTTCTTTAGCCTTTTGAAGGGGTATTTTGGGTACAATTCTTTATGAGTGTATTCTTTTCTATGGTTGTGACAAATCAAGGGACAGTATCGCATATCAAAGAGTCGAATTTTGGAGTATTTTTGGCATTTCTTTTCTTTTTATTTTATAATTCACTTGAGTCTTGTTAAGGCGACTAACAATTGTGTGGGTGTGTGTGTGTGTATGCCAGTGTGTGTTTATGTGCTACCTCATCATCAACTCGTGTTCCTGCTGACTACCACTTCCTCTGAATTTAGTCCCAGTCCACACATGCAACCACTCGAGGTGGTGGTTGTGGTGGTTGCTGGTGTTTTGTATTTGCCATGCCATTTGCTGGGGAAATTTTTCTTGATTGCCTCGCCCTTAGCATTTTGCTTGTTTTTTTCGCTTATGCGTCGTCATCTTTCTTTCGCAGTTTCTGCTCCCGGTTTGCTTTTTCCACTCTCCCATTTTCCTACTTTCCATTTTCTGCCGTCTGACAGTGATTTTGACATTTCACGCGCATTTGTTTGTTATGCTTTTCTGGCCAACATTGACAGCGCACAAAGGGCAACGAGAGAGGAATGGAAAGGTCAACAGTTCCCATTTTTTTTGCATATATAAGTATATATATATAAGCGTATGTATTCATAGAAATAGTAGCTGGGCATAATAAAAATAAAGGCTATGGTACGCAGGCTCATTAACATTTTGCCAGGCACGAGGCACGTGGCGGGAATGACGCTAACTCAGTTGCTCCCAAGCGTCGCATTTGGCTTAACCAAATTGATTTTTGGCCTCGTCCTGCTACCAAAAACAATCTGGCACAGGGCAAAATATAAATATATAACATAACAATATCATCTGAATGTTTGCCTCGATTTGGTTGTGCTCTTAAGCCAAGGATTTTATGGTGATAACTTACTGAAAGCTAAATATTATTATATTCTTATTATGGGAATTCGAATTTGTGTAGATAAATTGTATCGAGAATTTGAATTTCTATTTTATATCCTCCGACATATATACTAGTA